AACAAAATCGAAAACAACACCGAGAGAGGATGGAAAAACGCGGCATTGTACCAAAATCCAATAATTCTCTGTTTGTTTATTAGAGTCTACACCACTAAACGTGGTGAGTATCTCTAAGTCTGACTTCAATCTCTAGAATATTATGATAATATTAGATCTGATTTTATCTAGATATTTCTATCGATTAAATATATTATTTTATTATTGGAAAAATCGTATATAAATACCTGAAATTTTGCAAAATTTTCACATAAATATCTGAACTATAAAACTTCCATATAAATACTTGATTTTTTCAAAACATCCATATAAATACCCAAACTTTTAAACATCTCCCAAATCAAACCAAAATTCATTAACAATGTTTAATTTGTAACGGAATCCGTAAAAAATTGATGACTTAACATTCGGACATGTTAAACACCGTTAATGAATATTGTTTAATTTGGAAGATTTTTAAAAATATGAATATTTTTATAGAAGTTTTGAAAAATTTAAGTATTTATATGAAAGTTTTATAGTTCATGTATGTATTTGGAAATTTTGCAAAAATTCAGGTATTTATATACGATTTTTTTTATCTATCAATATTGTAATGTTTTATACTTAATAATAAAGAAATCAACTTCTCTTATTTCTCTATTATATATATAGAGAGAGAGAGAGAGACGTAAAAGTACAATATGCTAATTAAATTGTTATTTCTCATTCGTGAGTATTCATGCTCATTCTCAACCTTCTATATATCGTATCTTAGAAAAAAGTTTGAATTTAAAATGTCAACCCAAGTAAGCATCGTTGGAAGAGCTTTCATGTGCCATTTTTTTTTCCACGATGAAGAAAATGAATTGGATTGTAAAATCCATAATTTCTTTCCTTTTTTTTTTGGAGAACTCGTAAACTTCCTCCTTACATTTAATTAAAGGGACCATTTGTACAGATGTGACTAAAAGTCTAAATTTTCGTTTGATCGATCAAAGGTGTCACGTCATCTTCATGTGTAAATTGTTTTGTTATAGAGTAAGTTCAGCAAATCTTTAGTCCAACTATATCTCTCACAAAGATTAGAAAAATATGAGTAAATGTCCTTCCATACGTTTAGATTTATATCCAGAATAAAAGCATAGTTTGTATGTTTTTTTTACCAATAGACGACCATTCGAGTTTAGATATTTCATGTGTAAAATTTGATTACATGTGGAGGTGATGTGGCATCTTTGATCAGACGAAAAAAATTAAATTTTTTAATCATTTCAACACAGATGGTTTAAATAGATACAAGTTTTATTTGGAGATAAAAAAGTGTAGGTTTTGATTATTCAAAATTGAAAAGTTATTTTTTTAAACCTAATTTTCCTTTAATAAAATGAAAATGTTAGGATATGATTATGATATGCAAATTGAGACAAAAACACATCTTACTAGAAAGGAGAAATAGAAAATTCAAAATAGGAAGAAAAAATCAATGTAGGGAAAAAAAATGGACAGAAAATGTAGTAAAATTCAAACAACATGATATATGAGAGAAGAATAGTATCAAGTAGGGGTGGGCACGGATCGGATATCCGGGATTTTTGAGATATTCGTATCCGTATCCGATCCGCACAAATATTCGATTTTGTTATCCGTATCCGATCCGTAATTTTCAGATATCCGCAATTTCGGATATTCGTTAAAATCCCGGATATTTGCGGATATCCGTATCCGACCTAAAATATTATAAAAATTTAAATTTAAATTAAATAACAAATTCAAACGTAAATAAAATATATAATCTATTTAAGATAAATAATATCCACAAATTTAAAATTCATAATTTAAACATTCCAAATCAACTCAAATACAAATACAATTATAATCTATTACATACAAATATATTCAAAATTCAAAATTCAAAACACTAAATATAATAAATCTTAATATTCAAAAATTAAAATTATAAATCTCAATATATATAAAATTTTTCTTGAATCACCCTAAAAAAACATGTAAATATTAAGCATTTTAAATCTCCATACCAAATTATTCTTATATCTAATAATATTATTACAAAATACGGATCGGATCGGATATATCGAATAATTCAAATTTAATATCCATATTCGATAAATATCTCCAAATAAATATCCGTATCCGATCCGTAAACTCCGGATATCCGAATTTTCGGTTCGGATATGAATCGAATAACGGATCGGTTCGAATTTTTCGGATATTTTGTCCACCCCTAGTATCAAGGATATATAGCATGCGTCTAATTGACAAATCCAACCACCTAATTATAGGGGACACGAAAAATAATGGTTCGATTCTTTTGTATTTAAATAATACAAATTTTGTTCAAATATAAAAACAGAAATTAAGCAGTTGAAGTCATGTTATAATCATAATAATATTATTTTTGCACGGTTAATATCTCCATATTGCATAGAAAATAACTCAAATATTTATATAAAAATTAACAAATGAATTAAAAAAATATAGATGTAATAAAAATAAATAAGATACACAATATTTGACATAATGTTATATCTATTATTATTTTCAATTATATATTAAAATCTATATATTACTCTAATCATATATTCATTTTTCTATTTCAGTATTTCTCTCCAAAAACGACTTTAAAAAATAGAAAAAGTCAATATTGAAATGAGAATGTGATAAAAAAAACTAAGACATTTTCATTGTATTTGAAAAAATCTATAAACATCAAATTTTGTTCTCTTGAAAAGTATTACCCATTTTTCAATTATTTCACTTCACTTTAAAGTTCTATATTTACGATACAATATATTTTAAATATTTATTCTCCATATTTGATAAAATATTTACGAAACAATATATCTCGTAATATTGTTTAAGATATAATAAAAAATTCACATCAAATAGAAAGTCACAATAAAATTAGTATAACACTCTAAAATTAGTATACGTTCTATATTTTTGAACTCCTATATGAACTATGGTAATGTGTGTGATTGGAAATTTTCTAATCTCGATGTCAATAGTTATCTCATAAACGGTTGTTTATCTTCAAATTTCACCAATAAAAATAATAACGCGTTCTTGAAATTTAGCGTATGACTTCAATAATCAATATGAACCACTTAATTCTATAAACTCTGTGTTTAAAGGTAGTAATTTGTATTAATAGTAGAAAATATATGTGATAATGTTCTCAACATATGAGTTCCTTGAAAAATCATTTATGTAAACTAAATCGTGAGAGAAACGTGTGTATTAGATTCGATTTTATCTAGATATTTATATTAACTAAATAAAATATTTGTGATTTTATTTTTTTACCTATAAATATTTATTTTGAATAACCAAAATCCAATAATTCTCTGTTTGTTTATTAGAATCTACACCATAAACATGGTGAGTATCTCTAAGTCTGACTTCAATCTCTAAAATATTATCATAATATTAGATATGATTTTATCTAGATATTTCTATCGATTAAATATATTATTTTATTATTGGAAAAATCGTATATAAATACTTGAAATTTTGCAAAATTTTTACATAAATATCTGTAATATAAAACTTCCATGGAAATTTTGCAAAAGTTCAGGTATTTATATACGATTTTTTTTATCTATCAATATTGTAATGTTTTATACTTAATAATAAAGAAATCAACTTCTCTTATTTCTCTATTATATATATAGAGAGAGAGAGAGAGACGTAAAAGTACAATATGCTAATTAAATTGTTATTTCTCATTCGTGAGTATTCATGCTCATTCTCAACCTTCTATATATCGTATCTTAGAAAAAAGTTTGAATTTAAAATGTCAACCCAAGTAAGCATCGTTGGAAGAGCTTTCATGTGCCATTTTTTTTTCCACGATGAAGAAAATGAATTGGATTGTAAAATCCATAATTTCTTTCCTTTTTTTTTTGTAGAACTCGTAAACTTCCTCCTTACATTTAATTAAAGGGACCATTTGTACAGATGTGACTAAAAGTCTAAATTTTCGTTTGATCGATCAAAGGTGTCACGTCATCTTCATGTGTAAATTGTTTTGTTATAGAGTAAGTTCAGCAAATCTTTAGTCCAACTATATCTCTCACAAAGATTAGAAAAATATGAGTAAATGTCCTTCCATACGTTTAGATTTATATCCAGAATAAAAGCATAGTTTGTATGTTTTTTTTACCAATAGACGACCATTCGAGTTTAGATATTTCATGTGTAAAATTTGATTACATGTGGAGGTGATGTGGCATCTTTGATCAGACGAAAAAAATTAAATTTTTTAATCATTTCAACACAGATGGTTTAAATAGATACAAGTTTTATTTGGAGATAAAAAAGTGCAGGTTTTGATTATTCAAAATTGAAAAGTTATTTTTTTAACCTAATCTTCCTTTAATAAAATGAAAATGTTAGGATATGATTATGATGTGCAAATTGAGACAAAAACACATCTTACTAGAAATAGAAAATTCAAAATAGGAAGAAAAAATCAATGTAGTTAGTAAAATTCAAACAACATGATATATGAGAGAAGAATAGTATCAAGGATATATAGCATGCGTCTAATTGACAAATCCAACCATCTAATTATAGGGGACACGAAAAATAATGGTTCGATTCTTTTGTATTTAAATAATACAAATTTTGTTCAAATATAAAAACAGAAATTAAGCAGTTGAAGTCATGTTATAATCGTAATAATATTATTTTTGCACGGTTAATATCGGTAATTGCCTCTTACTAATGACAATACAACATATTGAAATATGTCATAATGAAAAAAAAAATGAAAGCATGCCATAATTAATTCCACATCAGCGGTTATGATGAAATGAGACAATTCCACATTTATCATAATTTTCTCAACTCAATGGGTTTGGCATTCAACTCAATGAACGGTAGCTTTCACGATTTTTTTTGTGGGTAAAATAGCTTTTCACGATTTTATGATCACTTTGACGAAATCGGTTGAATTATAAATTTTCTTGCCGGGTACTGATTTGTCCAACTTGATGATGCCTCTACCACCAAGACCTCCACCGGTTCCTTTCCCATCCCGTCTGAAGAAGCACAACGAGGATCGACAATTCATGAGATTTGCCGAGATGCTAAAGAAGTTCGAGATCGCCATGTCTTTCACAAAATCCATCCTAGAGATGTCATCTTACACGAAGTTTCTCAAAGACATACTCACGAAGAATCGAGTAGTGAAAAAGGAGACGGTATCGCTCAACAGCGAATGCAGTGTGTTAATTCAGCATGAGTTACTGCCCAAGCGAGCCGACCCAGGAAGTTTCTCAATATCCTACAAATTGGGTAATGTTCTATTGACAAAGCGTTATGTGATCTCGGAGCCAATGTTAGCCTTTTCCCGTTATCGATCTTCAAGAAGGCGAATGTAGGAGAGTTGAAGCCAACAAGGATGGTGCTCCAGCTTCCTGACCGATCGGTGAAATATCTCGCTGGGATATTAGAAGATGTACCATTTAAGGTGAAAAACTTTTAGTACAGATCGACTTCGTGGTGTTGAACATGAACGAGGACTCGAGAGTATCGATCATCCTTGATCGTCCATTCCTTAACACTGCAGATGCAATCATCCATGTGAGAGCTGGCACGCTGACTATGAAGATAGGTGACGAGATAGTGGAGTTTACTCTTGATCAGAACCTCAAGCAGCCTTCTGTCATGGAGTCCTCATACTTCATTGACATGTTCGAAATCTTGACAGAGGAGGTATTTGATCAACTGTAAGATCACGCCCCCTGAAAATGATGCTCCTGAACTCCGAGGACAATGCTGATAAGGAGCATATATAGACCTTTAGCCGAATATCGGATGCACCCGACATACCCCCGATGGACTATCGAGCATCCCGATCAAGGATGTCCTTTCTTCCGAGGGAGACGCCGATTTTGAGACCACTACCGCCGCTGAGATCCAGAAATCGAAAGAGACTCCAGCCACCACACCTTCTCCACTTAGGTCTGACTGGAGTCAAGAAGATGCACCTGAAGTGGAACTGATGCCCTTACCACAAGGTCTTAGGTACAAATTTCTCGGCTCAGACCGAACTTACCCTATGATTATCAGTTCTTCCTTGGATGATTCTCAAGTACGGGAGCTGTTGGATACGCTCCGGAGATACAGGATGGTCATAGGGTATACACTTGCGGACATAAAGGGAATCAACCCTTCCCTTTGCATGCATAGGATCCATCTGGAGGACGAATCCAAGATTTCCATTGAGCATCAACGACGCCTCAACACGATGCTGCAAGAAGTGATCGTTCCAAAGAAAGAAGGAATGATGGTGGTCACCAACGAGAAGAATGAGCTCATTCCGACGAGAATGGTGACCGGTTGGCGTATGTGTATTGACTATCGTAAGTTGAATGTCAACACGAGGGAGGACCATTTCCCACTGTCATTCATCGATCAAATGCTAGAACGCCTCGCTCTACACTCGTACTTCTGCTTTTTCGATGGGTACTCAGGTTTTTTCCATATCTCCATTCATCCTAATGATCAGGAGAAAACTACATTTACTTGTCCGTACGAAACATATGCCTATCGTCGTATGTCGTTTGGATTATGTAATGCTTTGACGACATTCCAACAGTGCATGATGGATATATTTTTTGATGTAATCGAGGAGTCGATGGAGGTGTTTATGGACGATTTCTCCGTTCATAGACCATCCTTCGACATGTGTCTTAAAAATCTTTCTCGAATATTTGACAGGTACTTACAGACGAATTTGGTACTCAATTAGGAGAAATGTCATTTCATGGTCCGAGAAGGGATCGTTTTGGGCCATAAGATCTCAAAGAAGGGGATCGAGGTTGACAAGGCCAAGGTTGAGGTGATCGGAAAACCGCCACCGCCACACAATGTTAGAGCCATCCACATTTCTTGGGCCATACGGGACTCTATTGGAGGTTCATCAAGGACTTCTCCAAAATCTCGAAGCCGTTTACTGATAACTCTTATTTTTCTCTATATTTTTAAGAGAGTTTGTCTAGGTTTTACAAGATAATCACATACATTTATAGGTATTCTAGGCGTGTTAGGACACAAAACCCAGTTGTGTTTTAGTTTTGCAGAGTTACAGGTTTCAAAGATGATTGGATGCGAAAATGAACGTTTTTGGAGCGTTAGAGATGAAGTTCGGATGAGATACTCATATTGCGAGATCCGTAACTTTCTCTACAAAATTCCAAATCATCCGAGACTTAACCATTGGAAAGAACATTTCAAGAGCTTCGCATAGACTCCAAAATCACGCAGACCCAACATCAGAGCTGAAAGTTATGAACAACATCGTGAAGCCTGAGGAATTTGCCAGAAAGTGAAACCGGTCCGGTTCCATATGGAACCGGCCGGTTCAAGAGGTCCGAGTTCACTTATTTTGGACCGGTTCAAGAAGGCCAAGAAACAGAAGGTGGAACCGATCCGTTTCGATATGGAACCAGACCCGACGGAGAAAAACCCTAATTCGCAATTTTTAGAGTCCTAAAGGGAAAAAGACTCTTGGGAGCCACCCTAGGGTTATAAAAAAGGCTTAGCCACGTCCTAGAAGAGAGGAGAGACTTAGATAACACTTAGATACAGACCTTTGGAGAGCTTTTGGTGAAGAGAAGAATAGGAGTTCACGGGATTTCGGGAAGAAGAAGGAAGATTCGATCGTGGAGACTACACATCTACATGAGCTTTTCTCTCCTCTCTTTTATCTCTTTTTCTCTGAGCTTTTTATTGTTTTCCATGAACCGTGAGTAGATCCACGACTATGGGTTAGAGATTCGTTTGTGTTTTGGGTATGTTTGACGATTCCCGAATACAAATCATAATCGTGATTCTCTCATGCTTAGCATATACCCGTACATGCGAATACGATCCCGACGCCCGTAGTCATCGTTGCTTGATAATTTACTCGTTTTTTATTGCTTTCTCATCTTAGTTATTATTGATTCTACATATTTTCACCATCACTTCCACTTGTTTGCTTTGATTTAGTCTCGATTAGGGTTTAGATTTAGCTATCGATCCTTGCGTTCGACCCCGTGTTACGAAGATCCGCATCCTTGCGGTGAGTTGTGAATCGGGTTATAAATTCTAGACTCGGTACACACGTATCAAGTTTTTGGCGCCGTTGCCGGGGACTGGTTAGCCTATTTCTAGGTCTTTATCGATTCTAGATCTTGCTTGTATATATATTGAGTTGTCTTTTTTTTCGAGTCTTTTGTGTATATATTTGAGTTGAGTCCTACGTATAGTTTTAGTATTTCTTTTAAACTAACCATCTACACTAGTTTGCTCTCCCCCTTACTATGATTACAGGTGACGAGAACATCTATAACAATTGGGAGGCGATTTGGGAGATTACTCGATTGCTAAATGAAGGAGAAACGGAACATGAGTCTATCTCCCATACACTTGAGGTTGATCGGGCCACAACAAGCATGAGTCACTTCTTTCATAAACTTGACTCAGACCGTATCACATGCAACTCGAACCATGTCAGTCCATGTGACAATCTCATGCGGGTCATTCCAGTATTCCGTTCTCCAACGAATACCTATGATTGTGATCGTATCCAATACCTATGATCATCTATCACATATCATACTAGTCTTAGTACATCATTGTTCCCACAATGATATATGACTAGGGAGTTTAGCATTGTTCATAACAATACATGGATTTCATAACATATTAAAGTATGCATAACATGTAATGAATCAAACACTCATCCATATAACCATAGTAAGTGTCAATACATCAAATGTATCAAAATAAAGCTCATATAGCAGTACATCATAGAGCATTTAACCAACATGGATTGATGCCTCCAGAGTTGAACTACAATGGAAAGAAGAAATTTCTTCATGATATCCAAGATTATTTTTGGGATGTCTTTCCTCTTTAGGCGATGGAAGGATGGGATATTCAGGCGATGCATACCGGAAGAGGAGATTCAGAGCCTCATTGTCCATTGTCATTCTTCTGATTACACCGGACATTTTGCTACATCAAAAACCACTGCAGAGATCTCTTACATGTCGAGTTTTATTGGCCCACGTTGTTCAGAGACGTGTATCAGTTTGTCTCCTCATGTGATGCATGCTAGAAAACGGGAAACATTTTCCGTCGACACGAGATGTCGCAGCAGTACATCCTTGAGGTCGAGCCATTCAACGTTTGAAGAATTGACTTCATGGGACAATTCCCATCATCCTGCGGGAATGTGTATGTCTTGGTCGTCGTTGACTACATCACCAAGTGGGTCAAAACACTTGCAAGTCTAAAGAATGATGCAAAGACAGTGTTTCGGATGTTCAAGTGCACCATCTTTCCAAGATTTGGTGTACCCCGAGTTGTCATCAGTGTCGGTGGAAATCATTTCGTTAACCAGATAATTCAACAACTCCTGAAGAAGTACGGAGTGCGACATCGCATAACTACTCCATACCACCCAAAAACAAGCAGTCAAGTCGAGATATCCAATCGTTAGACCAAAGCTATACTCGAGAAGATAATTTCACGCTCACGGAAGGATTGGTCACAGAAATTGGACGATGCAGTCTAGGCATACAGAACAACCTTCAAAACTCCTACTGGAATGACTCCGTTCTAGCTAGTCTACGGGAAATCCTACCATCTACCCGTGGAATTAGAGCACAAGGCGTTCTGGGCAGTGAAGGCACTAAACTATGACATGAAGACAACAACGGAGAAACGCCTTCTACAACTGCACCACCTTGTATCTCTTCCACGCTTCATGTAGAGTCTCTCCATGATCTTGTTTGAACGAGTGGATACTGTTCAAGGTAGCTTGAGTTCGATGCGGGGAGAAGAAACGTTGAATGAACTGGCTCTCTAATTGATTCCACATATGAATGGAATCCGGCTCAAGTTCATAGAGCCAGTCCAGCGCAATGTCTATTAACGTCCATGGAAAGGCGATCAAGCGGATTGCGTCCTAGGTTACTTGATCGACTCTTTTAATGGAACGACACATCATCTTGAATCGAGTGAGATGTGCGTTGGAATCCTCATTTGGCCTACCCCGGAAGGCCATGGCGCTCAACATTTGGATTGTAGCGGGGGTGAGCTCAAATCTCGTCATATCCACCTCCGGCATCCGAATGCCGGACAAGAGCTCAGTATGTCGTGGGGCGTTGTATTGCGCAAACGTTTCTTCGTTTACGTGCGCATTTCCCGGTGTAGGTACAATGTCGTGATCAACCATCTCTTCTCGGTGTTATCTCAAGTTTTATCTTATGGTTCTCTCTATTTCGGGATCAAAGGGAACTAGGTATTGTGACCCAGAACTCCTTGTCATACACCGGAAAAATCCTCAAAGCAAAGAGAGCAATAACAGGAAAAAAGGTGAAGACCGAATCGAACAAAAGAAAAAAAAATGACTTAAACTAAGTAGTTTTCTAATCATATCGCTAAAACCGTGGTGTCCCTGGCAACGGCGCCAAAAAACTTGATGTCAATCTAGGATGTGATCTAATCTTGTTTTAATTCCTAGATACAATCACCGCAAGTGTACGGATCAATTGTAGTACCTAGGGTCGAACACAGGGACACGTGTGGTTTAACGACAGCAATTACGATTACTACTCGGTTTCGGTCGAAGACAATAATGGTGATGGTGATGATTATAACTGAAAGTAAACACGAAGTAAAGCAAATATAAGCAAAAACTTAGCACAATTCTATAAAACATTGTAGGTGTCGGCAATTACGGGTTATGTAAGGATCGTTTCTACAGATATATCTTCGTAACTAGAGTTATGATTCGGGAAATTCAAGTTCTTGTTATAGAGGATTACTCTCTCGAGTTTCACCTCACTTCCTAAGAGTTCAACTACCGATCTCTCGATTTCAAATAGATTGAAACTCTTAAGAGCATTAAATCCACCATCATGATTCCTAGATGTTCATTCATTTCTCAATGCAATGTTCATCTATTCAAATGAAAGAGTTCCAAACTTAGTTCCATATCTCTATGCAAACTAAATTCTAGGTTCAACAAAGATAGGTATGTTCACATGATCCTTACACAACCTTAATCCCTAACCTACAATGATAAATCTACTTACACATCATGGAAAATATACAAACAACATCCAAATAGAAGTTCATGACAAGAATTTAAAGAGAGAGATGAGAATGCTTAGTGATAATTACATATGACTGTTCTTCTTCCTCCTCCTCTTCTTCTTCTCTTGACTCCTCATTTGATCTCTCTCAAGAACTCTTAATTTACTCTTCAAACTCACTCTCTAATGTGTTGGATGATTCTCCTAAGCCTCCCCTTCGTGCCCCTTTTATAGCCAAGAAAAGGAGAAAGACATTTCCCCATTTTCCTCCTCATTTTCCTCCATGATTCCCGAACTCCATATTTTGGGGAAAGGTGTTTTCTTATCGCCATCAAAGTATATAGCCATAGTGTTTCTCTCATAATTTTCGGCTCCGATGTCGGATTGAAGTGATCTTGGTGTCCACGTGTAGCTATCGAAAATATATTTCCAATGATATATCGCAAACGTAATTTAGACTTGTATGGAGAAAGTTATATGGCACGCAATGGCTCACTCTTTATGTCTGTGTGTAGCTATTGAAAAGAGTTTTCTAATGACATATATTACGCATGATTTGGACCTATATTGCGAAGGTTATGGAGCTCGTAATATCAAGATCGTGCAAGCTTTTCTTCTTTGACTATCTGGTACTCGGAATATTTTTCGGATTTGCTCTGGATCATATCTTTTCCTCAGAAATTGTTCATTTTCGCCCAAAGCTTCATTTTTCCTGCAAAATGTCAAAAACATCGAAATCGGAGTAAAATGTACAACGAATATCTACAAATATACAAAATATCGTGAAATACGCTAGACATCCGATGTGAAAATATGACAATATTTATATGTCATCATAACTCGTTAATGAACATCATTCGGAGACATGAGTGCTCACATACTTTGGTCTAAGTTGTGGGTCGAACATGTATATATATATGCATATGTGTGTATCTTAAAAAAATAAAAAGGAAAAAAAAATTACTCAACAACTTCAATGTCCTAGAAGCGTGGAACATATTTTTCGGAAGGGTACCAAAAGAAAAATGAGGATATTTGAGAACATGTTTGGTAAAGATTGATCGAAATCCGAAAGAATTCTAAGTAACTACCCCATCTCTAGCTAATATCATCATTAGGATTGAACGAAGTTATAGAATGTCTTTGATTTAGTTCTCGATTAGCATCATGTTCAATTTCTAGTCTATTTCTATGATTCTCTTTTAGTATTTAGTATTACTTATCAACTTTTTCGAGATTTAGTTTCTTTGAGGACGAGCAAAACGCTAAGTTTGAGAGAGTTGGATAACATGTATATATTAATATATTTTTGTATATAATTTATATTTTATTTAACAAGATTTATATGTTTATAGTCATTATTTTGTATAATTTTACTCCGATTTCGATGTTTTTATATTTTATAGGAAAGAGCGGAAAACAAATTTTATCAAAGAATTTTCAGGAGATTCAGACCAAATAGAATGAATGCAAACTCAATCTTCAAAAAAAATTATATATAATCATTTATATGTGGTATATATATGTATATTGTGTGTGGAATTATATGTTGTGTGTATACAGTATATATAAGCGTATATATATTACCTATATAATATATAATATATGTATACATAACTACGTGTATATATATATGTATATATAGTATCTATATAATATACATGTACTAATATATATATATATGCATATATATTCATGTATATGTGTGTACATTAATATATATTTATATTATACAATTATATATAAATGCATGTATATGTATATATGGATGTGTATATATATTATGCATACGTAACGCATGCATATATATAAGTTGTATATATGTATATCATGCGTATGTATTAATAAATATATAAATACATGGGTAATGTGCATTAATATATATATATATACATACATGTGTATGCATAGGTATTAGTGTGTGTATATATCATCGTCAATGTAAGACTTTTGGACATTTTCTGTCAATTAAGAATCCAAACCGATTTAGCATCAATTAGGACTGACATTTTATTGTTTATTTGCAACCTTCTTCTCCTGAACACCTTATTGTAGATCAAAATCTAACAGGAACAAGTTCAAGCGGTGTTCTCTCGTAAACGGGTGAGTCCAGGAGCTTCTTCTATGTCGATGTCTTGTACCGCCATCCCATCTGGTAGTTTCCAGTCGAAATGGTACCGAAGATTTGCAAGTGCAGTCTCCACCATTACACTCCCCATAAGGATCCCTGGACATATTCTCCGCCCACTGCCGAAAGGCAACAGCTCAAAGCTTTGTCCCTTTGCATCGATGGAACCATCCATGAACCTTTCGGGGAGAAACTCTTCTGGATCTTTCCAGACATTTGGATCACGACCCATTCCCCATAGGTTCACCTGGAGACGTGTCTTGGGGTAAATGGTGTAACCGTTGATCTGAAACTCTGACATTACTTCTCTTGGGATCAGAAGAGGAGATTGAGGATGAAGCCTCCATGTTTCTTTGATCACCATGTTCAAGTATTTGAGTCCATCGATGTCTTCAAACCTCACCCTTGCATTTTCACCGATCTGGTTTCTGATTTCGGCTTGAACTTTCTTCATCACTCGAGGGTTTCTCACCAGTTCGGTCATTGCCCATATCAGTGTATATAACATATATACATATAAGCCGCTGGTAGAAGTAGAGGGTTTGTATTTCAAACAGAGTATTTAAACTCCAGTGTATTGAACAAACAGGTTAACGACTAAATACAAATCATTTTTCTCTCGCTAAGCTTTCTCTCTCTATAACTGTTCTCTCTCTACTGTCAAGTTTATCTTCTCCGGCGATCTTTCCGTCGTCATCTGAAATGGTATCAGAGCAGTAAATTACTCCGCTCTACTCTGTTCTTTTCAATCCGATTCTCTGTTTTTTCATTGATCTTGAAGATTTCTCTATCATGGAAGAACATTACGAAGATCTTGAAGAATTACCTGAGGTACCTGTTACTAGTCATTACTATCTTGGCTCCAGTGATCATACGAATGTAATGCTAGTCTCGGATCGCTTAAATGGACCTGAAGATTTCAGTTCTTGGTATCGATCAGTTTCAATGGCGTTAGAAGGAAGGAACAAACTGTGCTTTGTTGATGGTTCCTTACCTAGACCTCCTGAGAATCATCCGAACGTTAGGTTATGGTCTCGGAATAATGCCGTAGTGAGTTCTTGGTTGATGCATTCCGTTTCAAAGACGATTGCGCCAAGTCTGCTTCATATCTCGACTGTGAAAGATATCTGGAACAATCTCATACGGAGATACAAACAGAATCATGTTCCAAGACGATACAGTATCAAACAGAAACTTCGATCTCTAAGTCAAGGTTCAACTGATGTCAGCACTTATTACACGAAATTGCTCACTCTATGGGAAGAGTTGAAGGCTGTACGCAACAATCCTAAATGTTCTTGTGGCCGATGTGCCTGTGATCTTAATCAGAAATGGTATGAACATCATGAGGAAGATTTCGTCATTGAGTTCCTCTTTGGACTTAATGATTCGTATGAGAGCATCAGAAGTCAGATCATTATGTTAGATCCTTTGCCTGATCTGGATAAAACATACAATCTGATTATACAGCATGAACAACAGAGATTGATCAAAATTTCAAACATCAGTGATTCTCATGCTCTTCAGGCTTCAGCGATCCCTGACAATATGGTAGCAGCGGTATCTGGTGGAAATTTTAGGCCAAGGCAGAGGCCTTTATGCACACATTGTGAACTTTATGGACACGTGATACAGAAATGCTACAAGTTACATGGCTATCCACCAGGTTATAAACAACCAGCCCCAATTACAGTACCAAGAGCACCAACACCAAGACCAGCATTTACACAGCAACCTATCGGGCCATATACTCCTTATCAAGCTTCAGGCCCCCGTCCTCAATATCCTAGGCCTGTTGTAGCATCAGTTCAGACTGCACCAGTTTGAAATTTCAACAACACTCAGATTCCATCAGTGTCTGATCTTTCTACAGATCAAGTTCGTGAGCTATATGCTCAACTATCTGATAAGATGGCGTTTGTCAATGCCACAATCACTGCTGAAGGTGCAACAGAAACTCTGCCAGCATTCTCTGGTATGGATTCTGCATATCTTTGCTCAAGTTTAATACAAAATAATGATATTGCTGCTGGTACTTGGATTGTTGATTCTGGAGCTTCAACACATGTTTGTGCGAATCGAAATTTATTTTCTGATCTACGTATTGTGTCTCCTGTCATAGTAACTTTGCCTAACAAGCATCACATCACAATCACTCATGCTGGGACAGTCACTATAAACTCATTCCTCACCCTTCACAATGTCTTGTTTGTTCCTACTTTTGCCTTTAATCTTCTCAGTGTCTCTGCTTTACTCAAGCATGACTCTGTTTCTGTAACCTTTACCTCTAATTCTTGTATGATTCAGGTGCCTACTCTGGACTGGATGATTGGGAAAGCTGATCTTCAGCAGAACCTTTACATTCTGGATCCAAACTTTTCACCGGCACCACCTCCTACATCATCAGACACCAAACACACGTGTAATGCACTCATTGCAGACACAAATATATGGCACCAAAGACTGGGCCACCCTTCCATATCAAGAATAAAGACTCTCTCCTCAGCCATCTCTCTCACCAAATGTGCAGAATTGACCCACTGTCAGACTTGCCATTTGGCCAAACAAAAACGTTTATCTTTTCCATTCAATAATCATGTATCAGAAAAACCATTTGATCTAGTTCATTTAGACATTTGGGGTCCATTCTCCACTCTTTCTGTAGATGGACATAGATACTTTCTCACAATTGTTGATGACTGTTCCCGAGCTACATGGGTCTATTTTCTCAATAATAAAAGTGATGTGTTGCATTTGTTTCCTGCATTTGTTGCTATGATAGAGACTCAATACATGTCAAAAATAAAAATCATTCGTTCAGACAATGCACCTGAGCTGAGATTTACAGATTTCTGTCAGCAAAAGGGAATTATACATCACTTTTCGTGTGCTTATACACCAGAACAGAACTCGGTTGTAGAGAGAAAACATCAACACGTGTTGAATGTTGCACGAGCTCTGTTATTTCAGTCAAAGATACCTTTAGGATACTGGACAGATTGTGTGAGGACGGCTGTGTATCTGATCAATAGAATACCTTCTCCTTTATTGAATCAGTATACTCACATTTGCGGGTGTTTGGCTGTTTATGTTACAGCACTACTCTTCAGAAAGACAGGACAAAGTTTTCAGCACGAGCAAGAACATCAGTTTTTATTGGATACCCACCAGGCATCAAAGGTTACAAATTGCTTGATCCTGAGACATTTGAGGTATTTGTTTCTAGAAATGTCGAGTTTCATGAAACCATTTTCCCATTTCATTCTCTCCAAACTCCTAACACCGAACCTGATGATATTTTCCCCTCAACTACATTACCTTTACCATCTCAGAACCCATTGAACCAGAAAGAGTATTAATTCCTCTACCACCTCAAACAAACTCCCTAGAACAACCCACATCAGACCAAAACGCCAAATCAAAACACCATCCTACCTATCTGAATATCAGTGTTATGTTACTCAACATAATGCTGTAAACCCATCTATCACTACACCTTATCCACTTTCCTCCTTTGTTAACTACCAAAAGCTTTCCCCAAACTATCAGAAATTTACTTTAAACCTAAATCATGAAACAGAACCTCGACATTTCAAAGAAGCAGTAAATTCACCAGATTGGCAAAATGCGATGAATGAAGAACTTTCAGCATTGATTCAGAATGATACATGGTCTATTGTATCTCTTCCACAAGATCACAAGCCAATTGGCTGTAAGTGGGTGTACAAAATAAAGAGGAAAGTAGATGGCACTGTCGATAGATACAAGGCGCGTTTGGTAGCAAAAGGATACACACAGCAAGAAGGTATGGATTACACCGATACATTTTCGCCAGTTGCGAAACTGGTCACTGTCAAGGTTCTCTTAGCTCTAGCGGCAACACAGAATTGGTCATTATCACAGATGGATGTCTCCAATGCATTTCTTCATGGAGATTTGGATGAAACTATATACATGAGTCTGCCACCAGGTTTCACATCAAAAGATGGAATTCCTTTTCCGAAAAATGATGTTTGTAAATTGCAGAAGTCCCTATATGGTTTGAAGCAAGCTTCAAGACAATGGTACCAGAAATTTTCATCTGTACTTTTGACAGTAGGATATCGACAGTCACAAACAGACCACTTATTGTTTGTGATGAAGAACGGTGATTCATTTGTGGCATTACTCGTATATGTGGATGACATTGTTATTGCTAGTAATAACAATGCAGCAGTAGATGAATTGAAAGGCCTGTTGAGGAGAAACTTCAACATTAAAGATCTTGGTCCCTTGCGTTTCTTCCTGGGTTTAGAAATAGCAAGGTCATCAGCAGGATGCACACATTGTGGACTTATGGACACGTGATACAGAAATGCTACAAGTTACATGGCTATCCACCAGGTTATAAACAACCAGCCCCAGTTACAGTACCAAGAGCACCAACACCAAGACCAGCATTTACACAGCAACCTATCAGGCCATATACTCCTTATCAAGCTTCAGGCCCCCGTCCTCAATATCCTAGGCCTGTTGTAGCATCAGTTCAGACTGCACCAGTTTGAAATTTCAACAACACTCAGATTCCATCAGTGTCTGATCTTTCTACAGATCAAGTTCGTGAGCTATATGCTCAACTATCTGATAAGATGGCGTTTGTCAATGCCACAATCACTGCTGAAGGTGCAACAGAAACTCTGCCATCATTCTCTGGTATGGATTCTGCTGTGGTTGACAAATCTGCTACATGAACTTCACATTCCAGTTACATTGCCGGTAAACTTGTTCTGTGACAATAAATCGGCTCTGTATCTTGCATCAAATGCTGCGTTCCATGAAAGGACGAAGCACATTGAATTAGACTGTCATATTGTTCGAGAGAAGCTGCGGCAAGGACTGATCAATACTATGCATGTGAAGTCGGAGAAGCAATTGGCAGATTTTCTCACAAAGTCTCTACAGCCTGCGGTGTTTCATTCAATGATGGCGAAATTACAAACTTCAAGTTTATTTCTTCCTTCAAAGGAATCATAGACTTGAGGGGGATATATCAGTGTATATAACATATATACATATAAGCCGCTGGTAGAAGTAGATGGTTTGTATTTCAAACAGAGTACTTAAACTCCAGTGTATTGAACAAACAGGTTAACGACTAAATACAAATCATTTTTCTCTCGCTAAGCTTTCTCTCTCTATAACTGTTCTCTCTCTACTGTCAAGTTCATCTTCTCCGGCGATCTTTCCGTCGTCATCTGAAAGCCCACGTCATGGTTATTGCAGAAGTATCTATTCCTCCAATAAGAATGTCCTGCAGCAGACACAGATTTTTGTCAAAGTTTAGCACTTTACTTATCAGATGGTCTTTGATTTGAATCGGACTTACCATTGCGATGGCTTTGGTGTGGTTTCTTGTGATCTGGGCGTTCCCTAAAGCAGCTTGTTCCCTCTCCAACTTCAGAAGCACATCGACGAAATCTTCATCCCCTTGTCTGTTTTCTCGAAGATGCAGATCTATCATTTCTTCATAAAACGTGTCGAGATCACGTACGCTTCTCTCTCTTCGTCTATGTAAACCCGTGAACCAATCGAAGATCCAACCTACCAGCGGCAAGAAATCTGAAGCAGAGAAGCTTCCCAACATCTGCAATGCCTCGTGGACCAACATCTGAAACCTGTCATTGTCAATCTTACTTCCTTGGAAACTCGTCCCGAACAATGCCTTGCAAGTCAAGATTGCTGTAAAAGACATAAACTTCTGGCTCAGATTGACCGGAGAATTCGTAGAGGCTGACTCGGAGATGGAATCAATTAGCTTCTGGATCACCTCGTCTCTGATGGGTTGAAACGAGTGGACTCGTTGGGTCGAGAAGAGTTCCTGAACACAAATCTTCCGCTTCTGTTTCCAGTAATCATCAAAGGGGGAGAAAGCCACGTCGAGATGATTGTAGGACAGTTTCCTCGTACCTATCAAATCAAATTGTTATGGTTTTGTTAATGGAAAAAGGACAAAACTTTATGTTGCAAGAAAATTTTCGAGATAACCATTTTACAAATCTTGAAACTTTTTTGGTAAAGGAAATGAAATTGTTCTGAAAGATCGGAAAATTGTGACAGCCACCTTCCGAGAGAGGTCGGCTACAGCAATGGATGTCATGAACTTTCAAGACTTGTTTCGCGCTTTCAGGGGAAGAAACTACGACGGTGGGGACTCTTCCAAGCTGCAGAAGCATCACGGGACCGTACTTCTTCGACAGTTTCCAGAGAGTTTGATGCGGCAGCTTTCCGATGTTTTGCACGTTTCCGACCACCGGAAGTCACGGCGGTCCGGGAGGTTGTAGCTGTCTCTGTCTCCGTTTCACGGCGATGATAAGAAGGAGAGGAAGAAAGAGAAGAAGAAGCGAAAGCCATGGAAGCATAGTTTGCTTTTAGATGATAAGAAGCAGAGAGAGAGAGAGAGAGGGAGATCAGAAGCATACAGAATGCACCGAGATGATACGAGGGGAGGAATTGTATATGCATGTGTGTATAATATATACATACTTTGGTGTAAAAGGGAGAATAATTGTATTTGGGATCGTTGTAAATAATGTTCATGTGCAACGACAGTCATTTCCTAAATTAGAATGCTGATTTCCTAACAACCAACTTTTTAGCAAAACAATTATTTTTTCGGAATGCGACAATTTATTAAAATATTCCACGTGGCCACTTAATAAAGAATTTGAAGAAAGTTTTTTCATAGTTTCTTTTTATTTATTTTTAAAATTTTTCTTAGTGAAAGAAAAAAAAAACTAAATCACTGTTTCCCGACGACTTATTGAAAATTTATCAGTTCGTCATGGGTTCCGGGATATTTTTTTTTTATGAAATTGCAAAACCACGGGGGAATTGTGGTTTGATAAAATTATATCTATTTAGATTTTCGAATTTTATTAGAATTTGATTTTTTATAATATTTAATTTAAAAAAATGTTTAATTCGATTGTTTTATGCTGGACTGTATTCAATTAATTTAATTTAAAAATATATATCGAAGTATTTTTAAAATTAAATTGTTTGATTGAATTTGGTTTATACAATTAAATAAGAATTGAATCTAAAATAAAGGCACAATTGTGTCAACAATTTTAATTCTATAGAGAAAAAAGTAAGAAAAATAGTGACATAAGAATATTCCCTTTCCCGACTTTTTAATATTTTTCCTTTTTTAAAATTTTTTTTGTTTGCCTATCCTAAACGTAATAAATGACATTTTTACAAAAGTAGATGGTTATATGTAACAATCAAATCAAGAGAGAAAAAAAAAAAAAAGCCAAAATCATCAATGAATTGGATTCTCTTTATGTGTGGTTTGATCGATCAATGAGCCAATTCTTCACGTGGTAAAATGACGGTGACAATGTAACCAACATGACCATATCTCCAATCAGTGGCTGCTAACCATTCTCTTCTAGTTTATTCCCTTGATGCTCTCTATTTATTATATATATATATATATATA